AACAAAAAATATGCCATGCGAATTGACCAGAACTGAGACACAGAACCACAACCAGAAGCAAAGCGAACTGAAACGAAACGAAACGAAACAACGGAACAGTCAACTAAAAGGAAAACTAAACACGCACACACACGCACACGCACACACACGCACACGCACACACGATGAGCTGGCCAAAATGACACACGCAATAATCACAAGATCACAAGATCAGAGCAACAGATCCATCATAGCTAGATAGATAGATAGATAGATAGATAGATAGTTAGATAGGTAGATAGATAGATAGATATATAGATAGATAGATAGATAGATAGATAGATAGATAGATAGATAGATAGATAGATAGATAGATAGATAAATAGATAGGTAGATAGATAGATAGATAGATAGATAGATAGATAGATAGATAGATAGATAGATAGATAGGTAGATAGATAGGTGGATAGATAGATAGATAGATAGGTGGATAGATAGATAGATAGATAGATAGGTAGATAGATAGGTAGATAGATAGATAGATAGGTAGGTGGATAGATAGATAGATAGATAGGTAGATAGATAGGAGGATAGATAGATAGATAGATAGAATGGTAGATAGATAGGTGAATAGATAAATTCCACAGCCAAAGCCAAAAAGCTTTACTTGGGGGGAAAACAAATAGAACGAAGCAGAAAGCAGACACGAGGAGGGCTACGAGGAGGGTTACGAGGAGGTTTACGAGGAGGTTTATGTGGAGGGTTACGTGGAGGGGCACCAAGCGGTAGCTGACAAATATCAATAGATCAGAAGATCATAAAACAATGCTATCCACGACACGCCGATGATGAAATACTCTTGTCGAATTATGGCTAAGGAATGCAGCGATTGTTCCCAGAACAGACGCATGATATAATACGACGATTCGATATGACTTTGCAGATATGTTTTATATATATGTATATAGTTATAGTAGAACTATGTCCGATCAATTCTAAAGCAGACACATGAGATGCCGATCTTATACGACTTTGCACATTTCTGCAATATATATATACGCTTGTTGAATTGTTCCTATAGCAGCTATATCAGATAATATTACGATTTGATATGACTTTATAGCTATACTTGATATATATACGCTTGTAGAATTATGGCTATGAAGTGCTCCGACTTTTCCTATAGCATCCATATCGTGTAATAGCACGATTTGATATGACTTTGCAGATTTGTTTTATATATATATAACCCTAGTAGAATTATGTCCTGGAACTGCATTGATCAATCCTAGAGCAGCCATATGATATCCCGATTTCACACATATATATATATATAGTCGAAGATATCTTGAACAAAGTTCTTCATACATGAATTTTACTTTCAGCCGACCATTCCTATGGTAACTATATTATATAGTTGTTCGATCCGGCTATAGAAGGACGTTAGGGTCGAATGTCAACGCAGCTGTTGATTATGATCAAGAATATAAATATATATAGGAGCTTTTGGCATTAAAGACGTATTCTCTTATGCGTCACACGATGGATGATAAAACTATAATAAACCTAAACAAGGCTATCAGAAGTTCGCGAACCGGGCGAATAATTTTCGGTCTAATATGAAATCAAAATTTCTCAGAAGAATAACCTCTATCTCATTTAAGCAACGATCCAAAGGTAAAGTATATTCTCGATCAGTGTGAACAGAAAGAAGATCTTATGCCTAAGAAATATGTTATATTCCGCTGATATCTTGACCAAACTTTCCAGTTACGATTTTCTTTAGATCTTTTTCTCATTTCATGTAACTTGATTTCATATTTAGAGTCTTTTCTTGCAAACTTGTTCTTTTGGCTTGCATACGAACGATAGATCAAAACTAGACTAGACTAGATCGTGTGTACATATCCTATTTGTGACCAAACGTAAGGACGTACCAAATTTTGTAGCTCCAGTTCTACTAGGCACTCAGTTTTTATGGCCAGCTGATCGGGTTTTCGCATTTCTATTTGCTGGTTAGATTGTATAACGGAAAGAAAACAAAATTAAAATGTGTAGCACTCGCCGCGATCTGTTTGATCTGATCACATAATACCTGTTGAGTAGCGTGATCGGCGCGATCAGCCGATTGGCAATTGCATAAGGGCCAAGCGAGCTGTTGACTTGTTGTACGAGTGCCAAATGATTAACGGGGCCCCGCCGCACACTGTCCAACAAAATGGCCGAACTGCATTCGAGAACGTTTACGAACAACTGCAAAAGGCAATGTTGAAAACACAAAACAAACAAATAACCGTTAAAAGTGCTCGCGAAGTTGCGACTGGTAGATACCCTAAAGACTGCAGCTTCTTCTTTCCTTAGCACCAGACTGTGGCAAATGTGCTCTCAATTAACTCGGCTGTTTCTACTCTGATCCTTATGAGAATTTCTAAAAATGTGGAATGGAGGAAGTTATCCAAAAAGTGAAACATTTCCCTTCGGTATATACTAAACGTGAATATGCCTAGCTAGTAGGGTGCATCTAGCTCTTGTAGTTCTCGAGCTACGCTTGAGCAATCATATCTCCAAATCGATATTTATCGATATCATGAAAAGGAGTTTAGATAAAAACTCATTCGTTTCAAGTCTCTGAAGTATCCGAGTTTAAATCCGCTTATCTAGCTCTGATAATTCTTGAGTTACGCCCATAAAACCATGGCTCAAAATCGATATTTATCGATAACATGAAAATGGGATCATTTCAACTTTTGAAGCCTCTAGTTCTCGTAGTTTACACGTTCGAAACAGCTTATCAAACTCTTGTCATTCTCGATTTATGCTAAAAGAACCAAATCTTAAAATCGATTTTTATCGATAGCAAGAAAATAGGATTCAGATTCAAACTGTTCGTTTCAAGTCTAAAGCTATCGTTGTTTCCGAGTTTGAGGAAGGTTTTTTAGCTCGTATAATCATCGAGCTATGCCTAAAATATCATATCTCAATATCGATATTTATCGATAGCTTGAAAATGGGCTTAGATGTGAACTTCTGCGCATGGTATATAGGTTTTAACTATCAAGCCTCTAGCTTTCGTAATTTTCGAGTTGCAACGGGCTTACCTAGCTCTGATAATCCTCGAGTTGTGCCTATAAAACGATAACTCTATATCGATATTTATCGATAGCATGAAAATGGGCTTAGATGTGAACTTGTGCGCATGGTATATAGAGTTTGGCTTCCAATCCCTTTAGCTTTTGTAGTTTTCGAGATCGCGTCTGAACAAACCAATATACCCCTTTAGGCTCATTTTGAGGGGTAAGTGCAAAAAAAAAAACAGTGCGATTTTCATGTTAATTGAATAAATTTTTTATTTCTTGTACAGTTTTTCTTTTGTATTTTTTTTTTGTATATTTTTTATTAAATTTTTTTCTTTCAATATATAAAAATACTGTTTTAAATATACATATACATATGTATATATATAAATATCTGCACATATATATTCGGGGGCATATATATATATATACATATGTATATATGTATCTGTAAAGTTTTGCTTGCAAATCGTTTGCACGAAGAAAAAAAAAACATCTCTTGTATATAAATATATTGTATATATGTATATTGTGTATAGATATAATTGTTGTTGGTGTTCTTGTAAATATACTATATAATATATATGTATATATATATATATATGTATATATGTATATCTGTATAGCTATATATATATAATTCTTTATATGCGATCAGCAGTTTTTAACAATTTATTAAAATTTTGTTTTTTCATATCACAAGAATTTTCAATTTCCCCAAAAAAAAAAAAAAAAAAAAACATTATGTGTGTGTGTATAATTAATTGCTATAACTAGTTTATACGATTAAATGATTTAGGCATAAATTTACGAGCTAAATATATGTATATAAAAAGAATTACACATTTGATTAGTTCCCGTTTGTTAACTCAATTCAGTGGGCTGGCCACGCCCACTTTGCTGTAATATATATATATATATATATATATTTTTAGCCATGACAACAAATTCATGTGTGTGTGTGTGTGTGTGTGGGTTGTTTTTGTTTTTAAAGCTTTCTCTTACAATCGTTAGAATTTCGTTTGTTTTTATTTACTTCTCCGTTGTTGTTTCCTCTTCTTTAATACCCTTGCAGCAGGCATGCCAACTATGTCAGCCAACATGTAACGCATATATA